ACCAATGAAGGGCCATAGCTCTCTGGCATAGCACCTGCATGCAGCCCCCTGGTTGAATCTCCAGGTCAGGACAAGAAGGTTCCCAGTCCAAAAGCCTGGTTCCCAGTCCAAAAGCCTGGGGTGCCACAGGGTTCTGTCTTGGGCCCGGTCTTATTCAACATCTTTATCAACGACTTGGATGATGGACTCAAGGGCATCCTGATCAAATTTGCAGATGACACCAAACTGGGAGGGGTGGCTAACACCCCAGAGGACAGGATCACACTTCAAAACGACCTTGACAGATTAGACTCCAGTGTTTCCCAACTGGTGTTCCGCGGCACACTAGTGTGCCGCGAGGCGTTGCCTGGTGTGCCGTGGGAGGGAGGCGGGCGAGTTGGGCGGCGAGAGGCGGGGCGGCGGCGGCGAGGATCCTCGTCGAGCCGGGGGCGGCTCCGCGGTGGTGGTGCCGAGGTTTCTCTCTCCATTCTCCCCTCACACACACACACAGGATCAGCTGACAGGACCCGGCCAATGGGGCGGCGGCGGGGCAGCGCGCGCAAAAGGGAGGAGCGCGAGACAGCGGACGAGGAGAAGGCCGGCATGTCCGGGCAGCAGCAGCAACAACAGCAGCAGCAACTCCCGGCGACGGCTCCTCAAGCCCCGGGCAACCCTACTCCCTCACCGGCCTCGGCCGCCCTCCTGCTCCACCCGCCGCCGCCTCCCCCGCCGCCGCCGGCCACCTCGGCCCCGCCGCCGCCCCCTCCTCCGCCCGCTATCGCCGCCACCACCACAACAGCCGCCGCCGCCTCAGCTGGGCCCATGCCTGCCGGGAGTGGCGGCGGCAGCAGCAGCAGCAGCGCCCCGGCGCCCTTCCCTCCCAGCGTGACGCTGTGTGCTGACGTCACGGGGCTGTAATGGTGGTGTGCCTCAAGATTTTTTTCATCAAGCAAGTGTGCCTTTGCCCAAAAAAGGTTGGGAAACACTGGATTAGAGAACTGGGCCAAAACAAACAAGATGAACTTTAACAGGGAGAAATGTAAAGTATTGCACTTGGGCAAAAAAAATGAGAGGCACAAATACAAGATGGGGGACACCTGGCTTGAGAGCAGTACATGTGAAAAGGATCTAGGAGTCTTGGTTGACCACAAACTTGATATGAGCCAACAGCCAATGCAATTCTGGGCTGCATCAATAGGAGTATAGCATCTAGATCAAGGGAAGTAATAGTGCCACTGTATTATGCTCTGGTCAGACCTCACCTGGAGTACTGTGTCCAGTTCTGGGCACCACAGTTCAAGGACACTGACAAACTGGAACGTGTCCAGAGGAGGGCAACCAAAATGGTCAAAGGCCTGGAAACGATGCCTTATGAGGAACGGCTAAGGGAGCTGGGCATGTTTAGCCTGGAGAAGAGGAGGTTAAGGGGTGATATGATAGCCATGTTCAAATATATAAAAGGATGTCATATAGAGGAGGGAGAAAGGTTGTTTTCTGCTGCTCCAGAGAAGCGGACACGGAGCAATGGATCCAAACTACAAGAAAGAAGATTCCACCAAAACATTAGGAAGAACTTCCTGACAGTAAGAGCTGTTCAACAGTGGAATTTGCTGCCAAGGAGTGTGGTGGAGTCTCCTTCTTTGGAGGTCTTTAAGCAGAGGCTTGACAACCATATGTCAGAACTGTTGCCAGTCAGTGCAGGCAACACTTAGCTAGGTGGGCCAATGGCCTGTCTTGGTATAAGGCAGCTTCCTTGGTTCCTATGGAAAATGCAATACTCCAGAGGCAGAGGATCAACAGAAAGGATCCTCTGCTGGATTGCAGCAAGCTCTAAAACAATTTCACTCGAGGTTCTGCTTAAGAATCTAAAACTAAGTTTTAATGGAACACCTAAATCCTGATTTGCCCAAACATTCCAAAACGCATTGTCCCAAACAGCAATTGTTGTTTTTAAACATTTGACTGTACTAGAATGCTTTTGAGGGATTCTTTAAACATTTGTTTCTGTTCTATCCATCACCAGCAGTTTTCCTTGAATAAAGTGGCAATGGTCTAAGTTAAGAGAGAGAGAGAGATGGCTTAGGATGGTGGCACAGGTCCACCACAGTTGAAGTTTATCGTATTTCAGGGACATCCCTAGGAAAGAATGTGGATTATACCTGCGTTGTAGATTGCTCTCATCCTTCCTTTAAAATGTAACTGAGCCCCATGCAATCCGATGCACTTACCTAGAATAAGTAACACCAAAGTAAGTCTTAAGCTATTCTTCCCCCACTCACTAGAAGGAATGAGTTTGTGCATGTGCTTTTACTAATAGCAAGGTGCCTTTTCTGGTTATGTCATGATGGGGTCTTACACTCTCATAAATATGTAAAACGATAGCTGTCAGGGCCTCACATCGTCCATGAGCAGATAGACTCATCCTGGGAAAAATATGCTTGTCTAGCAGCAACCATATGCTGCTTCTGCAATGCATAATGGAGAAACGGAAGCCTGTTGCCCATTCCGCAATGTGCTGACATCGAGCTGAAGTCAAACATTCGTGGTCAGCACTGTGAAACGGAATGCACTGCTAGGCTTGTTAGGCGATTCTACAAACTTTTGTCGAGAGGCCACTTGTAGAATTCAGCTCCGCACATCACATATTCTGTGTATTATACCTATCAAATAGAACTCTATAGCAAAAACAGAGAGGTAGTGTGTGCCACTGTCACCTTCACAACATACATATGATCAGGAAGACACTTGTCTGCAGACGGTTATGGAGCTGGAGATTGTGAGGCTGCTGGGCTGCCGTCATCCGCAGGTGTCACAATGCAGCAAGCATATCCCCATTTGCAGGAGTTCATCATCTCCTTCCACGTTTGGGTAGCATGGGGCCATTATTGGCAGCACAGTCCCTACCTGGTGGGCTGTACCCATGTTTGCACAGATGCTGCGGGTGTCTCTCTTTCCCATACCATGTTGGTATAATTGCCTTTTGTGGTTTGCCCCCCTTCAGTCCCAGATTCTACTTAAAGACAGGTAAAGGATTACTCAGCCAAGTCTTAAAATACCAGTTGGTGGGACTCACAAGTGGGAAGAGGGCTATTGCGCTCATGTTCTGCTGTGGACGTTTTTCTCCGACGGGCCACTCTTGAAACAGGATATTGGACATTGTGGGCTTTTAGCCTCATCTGGCAGGGATCTTATGTTTGCCTATGCCTAACATTCCCACCAAAATTGATGGCACTTCAGCTGGATTACGCACTCAGCTTTTTCCCTTTTTACTCTTATGTTGTGGGGGCTCCAGGCCTGACTTTAGTATGCTTCCCCAAATTCTGTATGTACTAGGTGTTATCTGCCAAAAGTACAACTCATGAACCTGACAAGATGGGCTCTGCATTACAGCAGCTTATGCCACACTCAATGGCTCAGTATTTATTTACCTTTTACTCAGTATTAGCCTTTAACTTGCCACTTAAAACAGAAAACCTACAGCTGACTTACACACAGGACTGGTTCCTTTTGTTGAGGTTTTTGATTTGTTTCCCCAAGTAACCTTCTTAGAGCAAACACACCCTCTATTGTACCACTGATTTCAGCCATTAGGGAAGAATTCTCATGCACATTCACCACTGGAGGAATACCAATAGCTGCCTTCCTGCAGCAGATGAGACATTGGCAACTTAAAGCCAATCCCTTGGTTTTCAGCAGAGGGAGTGTTCCTAAGGACTGATAAGAATACTTAAAGAGTTCTATTCACCAGCCCCTGCAAGGAGAATGGCTAACAATGGCGCAGGCCCCAGTAGAGCATCTGATGCAAGGCCCCTTCTGTGGTGGCTTTGGGAGTAGCTGTGGGGAGGGAAGTAAAGTAATTCAGATAGGTACAACACACAAGGCCTTCTGCCCTTGATGGAATGATCTCCATTGTACTGGTAGACATGCCCATATCCTTTTGAGGCCTATAGGCTAGTTGGTTTAAACCCCATTTGACAACCTGGTCATGAACAGGCATTTTCGGCTACAGGTCAATTGGCACCCTAGGCTTAGCAAATTTGAAGAGGCAACCACAGAACTGCTGACCAAGACGTCCATTCCAATCTTACATCAAAGCAAGGGGCTTTTCTCTCCAGCTCGCTCCCAGCTTCCAGGTTCTTAAGACAGTACAATCTGAAGGAAGGAGGTATGTCCAGAAGATGTTTGAAAATTGGGATTCGGGTGGAGAGAGGCACAGTGGGAACAACAGAGTGCATTGTTTCCCCCTCACTCAACCGTATTTGAAAATAGAGGCCGCAGGCCAAATCTGATTTTAGGAAACCTCCAGTGTCCCAAAGCCCATTTCAGAAATCAATCATCCAATTTCAGAAGTCAATCATCCAACTCCCATCACCTTTTTGCAGCCCCAGTTAAAACACTGGCAAGGAAAAGGAAGGACAGAAGCAGATTATTAGAAATGTTTTTATTAGAAAAGTAAAAAAACCAACAGTTGCATAGGAGTCTTCAAAAACTTGAACATCAAGTGTATTCCATGTGAACTGTAACCAATGGAAGCACTACAGACCGACTGCGAGGGTTCCTGCCCCCCCCACCCAACCCTAGCCCAGCATCACCTCACACCTCCCTCAAACATACATCACCAGGATACCCAACCATGACAGAGCACACTCCACCTCGTGTGCCCTGCGCCTCCCACACTGGTCTCATTCAGGAAAAAAATAAACATGAACAGAGCTGCATAAATGATGCATGGTGGATTTAACGCCCCCATTCATTCAAAGTCCTTATATTTAGCTGCCCTAATGTGTCAGTAGTGGAGCTTCTTCATGCCCTTCTGTTCAAATCAATGCAACACATTCTTGGGTCCCTTTAGACCTTAAAACACATAGAAACAATTGTCCATGCACCTCACCACTCACCAGATATCCATTGATTACTATCTAAGTTTTTTCTTTCTGATTTCTAAAAAAAGAAAAGTTTATCACAAAAAGCAGGCAACCTTCATCTATCCTTAGTGGCAGCCCTGCTGTTATGTCATCAGCTGTCAGGGGGAAAAATACTGCTAAAGTTGTCCCACGTGTCAGACAAGGATTTTTTTTAAAGCTAGCACATTGTTTCCAGGGGGCTTTTTTTTGTCAGTTACTAAAAAGCAGAGTGCTGTTGTTGTTGTTTTTAATTTTCAAACCTTGCCTTCCTCCTCCTCCTCTTTGGACTACCTGCCTAGTATCACTTGTTAAGTCAATCTTCCATCTAAATCTAACCTACAGTGGCTCAAGAGGACAGCCGCGTCTTGGAAACGGCTTGTGTTCCACAGCCCTTTAAACACGCCTCCTCCCCACTTTGGACCGGTGCTGGCCATGATCTTTAAGAGAGTAAATGCTCAGTTTTAGTTCCAACCAGGAGACACTTCTCAGCACTCTTCTATGAGCAACTGCTCAGAGCTATACAGTTTCTTTTTAATGACCCTGAAGCCAGTGCTGAGCTTCAGCGATTGGCTGAAGCCTGGAGAAAAAGCAGAGCCGGAGCTAAAGAGTCCCTGGATTTTAGGCCAGAGGCGGGAATCCAGTCTTAGAACGAGAGTCAGCTGGAAGGTAGGCACCAGGCCGGGGTCCACAGCAATCTGCCCCACACTATGGCAACCCTTCCCTTGTTCCACGCACAAGTCGATGAGGGCCCCCCTCAAGCCACAGGGCTCCCTATAGGCCAAGTGGAGGAGCTCCTTGCCAACTTGGGCGATCAGCTGGCTGGGCATGAGGAGCCTGGAGGAGCGGTTGGAGTTGATCTTCGCTTTATTCAGACTGACTTGGATTAGCTTCATGAGATTGGCACACAGGAGCTCATCCTCCGGATCATTTAACAAGTCAAAGTCTGGCAAGGACACTTCATCCAGATATTCCTGGGCATCTGCAAATGAAGGAGAGACAACAGCCCCGTGACTACTCTGCTGCTAATGCTGCTGCGTTACCTTTATTGCCACCCCAGCCCCCCTGCCAAGAAATCAAAACAGCTTTGTGCGTTTTGTTGTTTTTAATTGGTAGAAGCCATTCTGGGCAACAAAAAGATCACATTATAAGCTTAAGGCAGCCGCTTCTCAGCAACCCCTCTGCTAGAGAAGGCAGGCAACAAAGGCAGTGGCTGCTTGCTGGTTTGCCCATTAAACATACATAGCACTTTAAATTCCTATTTTGACCTGTAGTTGCCCATAATGCTCACTATCTCCCCCACCCCCCATCCTCCTCCAAGGCTTCATTAAAGTAGGCCAATTCTGCATGCACTTAAATGGGAATCACTGAAGAGCTCCTTTTCTGCTTTAAAGGGGTGGGGAGGGGAGTTTTTAAACGGAATTAAGTAAACATGATAGAACTCCACCCCCACCCCGTCTATGTATGCAGGTCTCCAAAGCTCCCCCTACATCAGCATCCCTAGTCACCTCCCCCCAATCTGCTTAGACGTGGTACCCATTACAAGCAGCTCCCCGGCCCCAATTCTCCCAGCCCAGACCCGCATATGGAGGCCTAGGAGCCCGTATTGCAGACATGTAAGAGACACCCCCGGTGAGATGGAGAAACCCCGCTTACCCGCTTCGGAGCTCAAGCTACTATCCAGGGACTCGCAGTCGGAGCTCTCCAGCCGGGCGCTGCGGCCGGCGGCCCCTTGGTAGGCGCTCTCCTTCTCCCAGGCGAAGGCGGGCGGGTTCTCCCTCTGCTCCGGGATGGGAGGCAGCGGGGAGGAGAAGCTGTCCCACGAGACTGGCATCGCTGCCCTTCTTCCCACGGCCGCTTTTCCACACCGGGGGTCGGAAGACGGGTATCCGCTACTGGGATCGACGGCTCTGTAGCAAAGGGGAAGAGGAGGGCGCAGGTGAGGATCGGAGTGGATCGGATCCCTACGTCTTAAGACCAGCTCCAAAAGATAAAGGACAGCAGAATCGACCACGGGACCCGTGCAAAACGGGCATCTAATGGAAAACCCATCTACTTACCGGCTTCAGGGCGCCCGTCGAGGAAACTAGTGGAAGCAGCAGCAGCAGCACTGAGCCGTAGGACCCGTAAGAGGCGCGCAGCTGCCCGAGCGACCCCGCTGCCACCCAACCTCCCTCCTCTGCCCTTTCGTTGGCACTGCGGTTCCACCCCCGTCGCTCCGCCTTTAAATAGTCGGGTCAGGGGGTGTGCGCGCTCGGAAGCCCCGCCCCATTCCCTCCGCCGCCTTCGCCGCTTCGGCTCTCCTGCTCCGCCGCAGCTCATTGGCCGGGAGCGGGAGCTGGGCCGCTCCAATGGAGAGGGAGCGCACGTTCGCAACGTTCTCTCCTGCCCGGTTACAGCAGCCTGGGACACGCCCCCTCCACCTTCTCCTCCTCCTCCGCGCTGTTCTTGTTCTGCGGCTGCACGGGGATGGGGGCGGGGGGAGGCTTGTGACTGCGGCGAGGGGGTGGCGCAGGCTACAGAACAATAGGCTGGTGTTGGAAGTGGGGGGAAGGGGGGAAAAGGGGCGCATAACAATGTGTGTGGCACCCACCCCTAAACTTCGCACCCCTCGATGCCCGATTGCAAAACTGCGCGTTTGCAATTGCACCCGGGTGCAAAGCCTGCAGAGTTCAGCGGGACATCGCTCCCAAGTAAGCCCGAGGTGCATGCATGCATCTTAGCGCTGCGTGCAAGCAGAAGGTCCCACGGACGCGTTTACCTGGAAATCAAGCCCCCAGTTGTGTGTGACAGAAAGAGAAAGCCGTGTAAATAACTCCCCTAGGGATGGGAAAGGCTTACGGCTGCCAGTCAGTGTAGGCAGCACTAAGCTCGATGGAGCAATAGTGTGTCTCAGTATAAGGCAGCTTCCAAACTGGGGAGAGGGGGGTTGCTTCTGAGTAAACCGCCCTTCAACGTGCTTGGGATTCTAAGAGTGGGGAAGGCAAGCGATGGATCCGTCGCTGGGCGCCCATATCACGTAGCGAGCAGGCTCCGCTGCAAACCAGTAGGGACTGTCCTCCTTATAACGCGCTTTAGGATGGACGAGGAAAGGATCGGCGCAAGCCTACTGAAAAGCCCGTCCTATTGTATTCAAGTGCGGCTTACACCCAGGTAAGTGTGGGTTAGGACCGCAGCCTTACAGAGTCAGTGGCGAGGTAGTTTTCATAGAATCAAAGAACTGCAAGGGACCCCAAGGATCATCCATTTCAACCCCCCCTACAATGTTGGAATCTCTCCCCCCCCCCCAACGTGGAACTCGAACCCGAGACCCTGAGATTAAGAGTCTCTTGAGTTCTACGGATTGAGGTACCTGCTTTGTTCTCAATCCCAGTGTTACGCACGGCCTGCTCTTTCTCTCTCATGAAGCTGTGGCTCCTTTTGCATGTTGTTTTCCCCAGACACACAGTAGTTCTGTAGTTAAAAGGAAGGACACCGGTATCTCTCACACACCCCGATCCTAGGTCAGAGAAATATCTTGGATTTCAAGGGAATATCTACATGATGCGCACGTAGAAACGGTTTGGCATCTGTCTGCCAACTTTAATTATAATATACCTCGGGACACTTCCAAAGCTTAAAGGATCCGTTTCCTATTTACAGTGTGGTCTCCCAAAGACCTTAACCGTGTAGGTATATGGCCACGAAAGTAACAGTTGCATTAGTAGTCAGGTTACATTATTTTGACAAGCAGCCGAAGAAGTGAATCTTCCACAAAGCGGCCTGTAGAGGGATGTGAGCGTGTTTTGTTGCTGCAAAGATCAGGACCCACCCCCACCCCCGCAAAAGTACTTGTTATTATGCGCATTTTCATCGGGCTTTCCCTTGCAATTCACAACAAGAGGAGTGATGTAAAAGCGGGTCGGGACCCGTGTCGGACTCGGGTTCACACGTTAAGTGTTGGCCACCCTGCCAGCACTTTGGATCGCCAAAAAATAGCACGGGTTTTATTATTATTATTATTATTGCGCCTGCATTGACGTCAGCTCATGTCTGGGCGCCGGTGCGCGCAGGGCCGCACTATCGACTGACCGCCGCGGAGCTGATAAGGGCGGGTTTTGTTGCAATTCCTCGGGTAGAGGAGGAGGAGGCCGGTTGGTGAGACGGCGAGCTCGGCACGTCGGGGAGCTCCGTAACTCGAGCCGAGCAGTCCAGCCGCAGCCAGAACTCACACGGCGAGCTCGGCTGGGTCCTAGCGCCTCCCGGGTTCCCAGCCGTGTAAATTGCTGCGGGAATTGCATCATGAGCGAGGGGGGAGGGAGGGGAGAGGAAGCACCCGGAGCTGCTGCAAAAAAGCATATCGTTTCATCAGAAAGAAGGAAACTCCATATAATAAACTGCAGGACCTTTAAGAGGGCTTAAGGCCGGACTGACTCACTCGAGGTTTCTAGAAGAGAGGGCAATGAGTTTAGAACATGGGTAGGCAAACTAAAGCCCGGGGGCCGGATCCGGCCCAATCAACTTATAAATCTGGCCCGTGGACGGTCCGGGAATCAGCGTGTTTTTACATGAGTAGAATGTGTGCTTTTATTTAAAATCCATCTCTGGGTTATTTGTGGGGCATAAGAATTCGTTCATTATTATTTTTCCAAAATATAGTCCAGCCCACCACAAGGTCTGAGGGACACTGGACCGACCGGCCCCCTGCTGAAAAAGTTTGCTGACCCCGGTTTAGATAAAGATGGGTCCAGTCCAATGCAAGCTTCACACATTAATTAGAGTGTGTGTGTGGGGGGGGGAATAAATGAATTCTGAACGTACTAAGCGCATCGACCTGGGGTCACAATAAGCTATTGGTTAGGTTGAAAGAGCAATGAGCCAGTGTTCGAATTTTCCCCAAACTTTTCTTCTTAAGTCAAGCAAAACCAAAACTAAAACAGCTGGCAGTCCTGGGAAATGGTAACTTGGGAAACGGTAACTTCTCTGTCCGGCGCACCAAACTTTTTCTCCCATCTGCTGATGGTGGCAGCAGGCCTTAGTAGATGGCTAGCCAAGTTGCATATATTTCCGTTTTCTCCCCCTTCCCCCACCCTTGCTACACTTTCTCTGGCCCATAAGTTTGGCTCCTGTTTTTATTTGCTTTTATATCATAAATGCTTTCAAATAGGCAAAATAAAAATATTCAGTTAGAGCAGATACATTTTTAAATGAAAATAACCGGGGGTGAAATTAAGCTTGCCAAAACGGAGAGGAAGTTTGAGCAGGTATGGGCGTTCTGTGCCCCATGGGACGCGGGTGGTTCTGTGGTCTAAACCACTGAGCCTCTTGGGCTTGCCAATCGGAAGGTTGGTGGTTCGAATCTGCACAATGGAGTGAGCTCCTGTTGCTCTGTCCCAGCTTAGCAGTTCAAAAGCATACCAGTGCAAGTAGATAAATAGGTGCAGCTGTGGCGGGAAGGTAAATGACGTTTCCATGTGCTCTGGCACTCATCACAGTCCTCCGTGCACCAGAAGTGGTTTAGTCATGCTGGCCGCATGATCCAGAAAGCCGTCTGTAGACAAACGCCGGCTCCCTCAGCCTGAAAAGCAAGATGAGTGCCGTACCCCATAGTCGCCTTTGACTGGACTTAACCATCCAGCGGTCCTTTACCTTACCTTACCCCTCTTTTTTTAATCTACCTGTGTGCCCTATCCTGGGTTTCAGTTCACAGCGCTGCATAAATTGAAAAACAACAGAGCAGGGAGGAATACAAAAGAGGCCTCTGCCTCTTCCCTGGCGCCCTCCAGAACTTGACACCCTGGCGCCCCGCTCCACTAGCTTCTATGGGTAAGACGCCCCTGAGAACTGCAATCCATTTAAAATGTGTGTGAAGCTGACTTAGGTTTATTTCCATCCTATTCACGCACATCAGTGGCTGTGTTGTGGTACAAGCCCAGACAAAAATCCACCATGCCCTGGCAAGTTTTAGGAAAGTGGGCCAATCCAAATCCATGTGTCAGGAGATTTGCCTTAGTTTTGTCTCCCCCATCTTGGTGCTCTCTAGATTTTATTTATTTATTTATTTTTGTTACTACAACTCCCATCATTCCTGACCATTGGTCATACTGCTTTGGGGTGATAGTAGTTGTAGTCCAAAGCATTTGCAAGGCACCAGGCTGCCATAGCCTTTGCATTTCTGCTTATGTTCCCCACATGCACATAAACAGTGAGACTGAGATGAAGAAGAAATCTAGAGAATCCTAATTAAAATGTCTCTCAACCTGATAGTAATAATGCTACTCAGCATTTTATAAAGTGCTTGAAGACTGCTCAGAGCACTCAATCTATACTATTATCTCAATCGTTCTTAAAAGAACCCTGTAGGCATGCCAGTGTTATTACGTTCATAATGCCAATGGGAAGAATGGAGGAGGGGCAGACTTCAAGATCCCAGCTGGCCTAAGGGCATCTGCTGAGTTCAGGGATGAGGTGAGATTTGAACCTGGGGAATTCCCAGCTCACATCCTGAGTCATTCAGCTGCTCTTGACATGTCCGTCCTATCCCAAAGTGACCAGATTTCCCATCAAAGGCAGGCACGTTTATTTAAACGTTCACATGTTGCTTTTCCAACATTCAAACTGATTTCCACCTGTATTTAAGATTTTTATTTAAAAAACAAAAAAAGAAGCAGTGTGTGTTCCTTATTTCAACAAGTTACTGTTTTCCTCCATCCTTCTCCAGAATGGCTGCCGTGATTTAAACTAGCCAGGTCCCATTGTTGCCTCGCAATGTACCCCAAATTGCTCATCATTCAATTATTTTCCTGGCAGCATCTCGTTTTGCCCTTACATATTTATTTAGGAAGGTTTCTAGATTGCTCAATCACACAATGCTCAGGAACAGTATACGTAACAAAAACAGCCATAAAACACAGCCCAAACCTATAAAACTCTCTCTGGATTTATTCGCGCTTACCTTTTGCTTCGCTGTTTCCAGGCAGTGGTACAGTGGTACCTCGGGTTACATACGCTTCAGGTCACGTACACTTCAGGTTAAAGACTCCGCTAACCCAGAAATAGTGCTTCAGGTTAAGAACTTTGCTTCAGGATGAGAACAGAAATCGTGCAGCAGCAGCGCAGCTGCAGCAGGAGGCCCCATTAGCTAAAGTGGTGCTTCAGGTTAAGAACAGTTTCAGGTTAAGAACAGACCTCCGGAACAAATTAAGTACTTAACCCGAGGTACCACTGTACTTGAAAGCTCTGTGTCCAGTGGTTTTGTTTGTTTGTTTTGCCCCAGAGTCCCCCCCCCATGAAAACCCACTCTTTAGCACTCAATCAGAGCAAAAGTCAATTTTTGCTTTCCACAAATTTGTTTGTTCCAATTCAGAGCTAAAGAGCGGGGGTTTCCTTCTTGTGGATAAGCCCCACCCTCCTTCACATAAACGTCTATTCCAAGATAATCCAGATTCTGTGGTTTGTGGATTGCAGTCACAGAAGAATTCAAGTTGCATCAGTACTAGCATTTCTGCATGCCCAATGGAATAATCACACACAGACACATATACACACACGTCCTACAGCTTCTCCTGATCCTGTTTCCCCAGCCAATTTAGTGGTGCATAGGGTGGGGAGAGAGGACGCCCTACTGTGCTAGCGGTAGTCCTTGCATGGTTTTATGCTAGCGGGACCAGAATTTTCCTCCACCCCCACCTCCCATCCATTCCGGTTTCCGGACTGCTATGCCATTTTGGCCAAGAAAAAATTAAGTGACTGCAGCTAAATCAAAGTCAAAAGTCTGGTGGTCTAACCCAAATCAAGCCATAGAATAGAGGTGCAAGTGATATAGGTGCCACAATAGGGCAATGAGAATGTCGTTTGTATGACCATGAGCGATGGAGCGTTCATCCACCATTCACCCGGATCCACTTTTTGGTGCATTTCCTAGCCACTTTCTAGAGATCAAAAGGTTGAGTTTCAGAAGTGGACTTGTAAGGTGACAGAGCACTTTAATCCACATTAAGCTTTATAAACACGCACCCAAAGCTCTGGTAGGTGCTTAAAACCTTCCAGCAAAATTCAGCAGGCTAGAACTACATAGGTGGAGGATCTCCCCACTGTTGCCATGTCAGTGGCTGTATATGTCAGAAGTGGAGAACCTGTGGCTTTCCAGAGGGTGTGCAACTTCAGATCCCAGC